CCCACAGCTTCACACTCCAGTTGCACATCATCGCTGGTACTGCCGATGCCGGGACGGACTTTGCACATTTCGGACTGTGGTTAAATATCACATTTGCTGAAAACGTAACGAACGTAACAACTACACTGGCCTCTGTCATCAATGACTTGGTGAGTGTCACTACTGACAAAATATTTTCTACAAAATGCCATGCCTATTTAAACTGGTCTAAAGGGGAAGGTAATTGTTTAAGTGATACGTGAACAAAATATAGGTGTTCGTGTCAAGCTGAACTCGTCTAAAGGGAGGTAGTTGTTGTCATGGTAAATAATACATAATTCATTAACAGTGCGTGCGTATTTACACTTTTCTAAAGGGGATAATCCTGGTAGTGGTACGTGAAAACATACATTTTCACTGGGACATCGTGTCTGTTAATCTGGTCCATAGCGCGGTAATTGCTGTTGTGGTACATGAACAAACATACATTGTCTTTGAGCATTCGTGCCAATTTGAATTGGTCTCCAAAGGGAGCAAATTGTTGCTGTGGTCCTGAATGGAGACAATATACCTGGCAAAATTAAGTAAGGAGTATCAGTTGGATGGGTAACTGTGAAGGCAGCTTGACCTTTGAGAGTTTTTATGGCTTCGGTCGTGACCACCACAGAAACAGCAGTCACACTGCATGTTCTTATGTTTTTGCCACAATGCCTCATTGCCAAAAACAGGGGCGGTGGCGTAGCATAGTGGTTAAAGTGTTCGCTCGTCACGCAGAAGGCCCGGGTTCGATTCCCCACATGGGTACAATGTGTGAAGCCCATTTCTGGTGTCCCCAACCGTGATATTGCTGTTATATTGCTAAAAGCGACGTAAAACCATTTTCAGTCAGTAATGCCAAAACAAACTGACGCATGAAAAATACATTTTGCCACAGCTGGAGGAACCCACAGAAGTGTTTACCATTTTCATCACCGGCGCAGAGATCAGCAACAACATCACTGTGACCGCCACCATCAGCGACACCGATGGTCAGTTTCATAAACTGTGCATAAACTCGGTGGGAAAATTGACGGTTTGAGCTGATTCAAATGGCAATATTTTGAGAAGATTTATGTTTGGACCTAGGGTTTCACCTCTCATTTTAACAACTTGACTCCAATAAACAAAAAACAAAAACAAACAATGCCAATGATAATTGTTATGGCTTTTATTGTAAGTGATATTCTGGTGTATACTAATTAGTTCAGTTCAAATAGTCAGTCTTTAAAGTTGTTGTATTGTATCAATATATTCACATCAGAATGTCTTGTGATTGTCATAACAGCTCCAGATCCCTTCCACTGTGGTAGGGGTGAGAGTCAACTTTGCCTCAACAATGGCACCTGCAACAACGACGGATGCCTCATAAACACTGGCTTCTGCAATTGTACTTCTGGGTTCCAGGGAGTGAACTGTGGAATTGAAAGTAATAATTAATAAACATTGAAACATAAATCAGTCAGATTACACGTAAATACAAACTTATTTTTGACTGAAAAATGTTGATACACACAATTTTGCATATTCAACTTGCTATATTATACAATTATAGCACCAAGGTCGATAAATCATTGGATCAACCGAACTGAAGGCAATAATTGTTTATTATATGACAACGGTACTGAATACCTGTTCTTCTGTCACATAGCATACCACCGATGGCGTTGCACATGACCCAGAGGTGCAGCCATTTTGATATTGATGGGACGTAGCTCTAAACCAACATTGTGACGTTAAATAATAACTCACTCACTCATCACTAAACCAACACAGTCACAGGGACGAAGCGATCGCTTCCTTATCTAGCGTGACGCACGCAGTGCGGAGTTCACAGCTGAAATATCCCAAATCTTTTTTTAGCCACGGGAGGGTCTTGGATTGTTATATCAACCTCTGGCGACGTGGAGAGGTTGACATCGCTTAGCGTCAAAGCTGTCATGTGATCAAGTGGACCAATCAGCAGGGCTGATGTCTGATGTATTGCTGTGTCTACCTACATATACTTCACTGTATACATTGTGCAATACAGTCGACGATGACGTGCGTTGTGACCTTGACCTTTTACGTGTATTCTAGCGTTGGCGATAACAACCACAAGCAAAAATAGGAAGATGATATATATGGGTACATTTAGTCATCTATGTACTGGGAAGAGAAGGAACCATTCGTGATATGATTCTCCACAAAGAATATTTCTTTCAGACTTTTTATTAATAAAGTTATATTGGGATGCACATTTTTAATACTGCATATGTAAATATGTCTTTTTTTAGCAATAATGATGTGATTTAGTAATCTATTTTGATGCAGAGTACCAAACCAAACCATATGTTTGGATAATTAGTAATGGATGAGGGTATAAATTGTTAAGCCAAATCGCACATATTTATCAAGGGAAGTGATAAATTCGGCTGGTGGGTTGGGCACGGAATTGAAAATATTAATCAATTTGGAGATTGGAGAGTTTTTATTACTGTTATTGTACCAATAAGTGTTAAGTTTCTCTTTCTCCAAGATGCTAAGAGTCTATCAATTTCATCTAGTCTCTTTATGGTACATTTTACTAGAGTTAATATGATATATTAACTGTAGGAATATAGAGGATTTGAGATTTCTTAAACGTGTTTTCAGTTGTTCATGGCAAATGAACATCAATGGTATGAAAGAATTGGGCATTGTTTAACTTAATTCTTTATTCTTTTGAGTACTATCCCAGCAAACACACAGCGTTTTCGTAACGCTGTGGGAAGGTTGTAGATTGGTAACGTCATGACACAACGTTGTGGGAAGGTTGTAGATTGGTAACGTCATGACACAACGTTGTGGGAAGGCTGTTGATTGGTAACGTCATGACACAACATTGTGGGAAGGCTGTAGATTGGTAACGTCATGACACAACGTTGTGGGAAGGCTGGAGATTGGTAACGTCATGACACAACATTGTGGGAAGGCTGTAGATTGGTAACGTCATGACACAACGTTGTCACAACGTATACAACGTTATGTCACAATGTAACAACAACTTTGCAAACGTTCATTGACGAAACGTTATGCGTTGGGCTCCTCACAACGTCATAACAACGTTTCTTATAACTTGGTGTTATTTTAAATTTCGGCTAAATCTTCCAACCATCGCCAGCGGCTGAAGGGATGTGTAAATCCAGCTAGGGCCCATGCAGGTAGCTAAAGTCACGTAAGTCCCCATGGTTCCCCGTCTTCTTTAATTAAAATGTTTTAGTTTTACATGCTAGTTTTATATTCATATCTGTGAAACTGATAGTATTTTCACTGTCCATCGTCGACAGATTTTACTCTTCAAAATGTTTTCATTTTTTATTGTATAAATTGTTTTCGTCACGACATGGCTGAAATATTGCCGATGTTACGTTAAATTTTAACTCACTCACTCACTCATTTTTATGTACTATTCAACCATTAACGTTCACTAGCACGTTAAGACAACGTAAATATACGTAAGCATCAAATAACTTTATCCTTGTAGCGACGTAGAAATGACGTTGTGGTCTGATGTTGTGACAAAGTAAATGGGAGGTGTTCAGGTTAAGGTTAAGTCTACTAAGGACAGAATTATAGCGGGAAATTGATTAAGACGAACACTGTTGTGGTCGAGTTCACAACTGGAAAATATTGACTAAACAAGGAATATGCAGTGTTCAAATTTTCTGTTCGAGACAGCTGTTAGTTCACCACATCAAAGTTTGACATAACTGTTTATTTACATTACCTCTTAGTTTACTTTTACCAATGCATATTTGCATCGAACCCGGGGCCTTCGGCGTGACGAGAGAATGCTTTAAACACTAGGCTACCCCACCGACCTGGGTCGAATCCCGGTTCTCCCCGAGTATGTTGCTATGTTTGTCACCACCATACCATTGCTCGTGGGTTTCACTAAATTGGTAAAGCATCTGACAAGTTCTTCACTTCGGGCTTTCGTCATACGTTTAGCTATTGTGATGAAATTGGAATACCGTTCAGAGGGGTATCAAACTGAAGGCACTTGCTCACTCTTTCCAATCCTCTCTACCATTAAATCATATTTTCAGATTTTCACCAGTGCAATCCTACAAGCTTCAGTGTCTGTATCACACCTTTCTCCATCGACACTTTTGGCGGGGATATATATGTACACAACTTCAACAACGTCTCCGCATGCAACTTAACTCTTGCTCCGACGGTAGCCGACCCAAGCGACGGCATCGTGGATTGGTGCAAGGGATATGCCGCCGCCATCCCCTACAACGGCACCTGCGGTGAACTCGGTCCGGCCATTAATGTGGGTATTCTCTTCTGACATTATCTATGATGAGTATTATCTTGAGCCATAATAGCCTTTTGTCCTTTGTCAACGCGCCCATCATCAGAGTTGGTCTGTCGATTTCATGTGACTGTGCTAAATTTGATGTTGTTGCATTTATTAGATATTGTGTTAGTGAGCAATTCATCGGTCTCAACTGAAATCAAACGGTCTGTACATTATGTTAAAACACATGTGTGTTAGCATTGGAAGCCGAGTCAGCTTGTCAGAGGTGTACACAAAGCAAGTGATCTGGACTACTTCTTGTCAAATTTCCACTTTTGTTGATTAGATCACTGACTTTGTGTCTGAGCAGTTACACCCGTGAAGATCCAGGTTAGAATTGGCCTTTAGCAACCCACGCTTGTCGTAAACGCTGACTAACGGGACGGGGTGATCAGGCTCGCTGACGTGGTTGACACATGTCATCGTATCCCAATCGATGTTCATGCTGCTGATCACTGGATTATCTGGTCCAGATTGATCATTTACAAACCGCCGCCATATGACTGGAATATTGTTGAGTGCAGCAACAAACCAACCGAGCGATTAGAGGATCCCCTCTGAGAGCGTGGGTTTCAATCCAGGATGGAAGTCAATACCAAATACTTTACATTACTAACAAAGAGTAAACACAAATATATCGTATGTTACATTTGTCCACTTTCTGAATGGCATTGTGTATTCACGTATGTAAAGTATTTTTGGTAAAATCCGATCGGTACATAGACTGCATCGACAGATGAGACCAATAGCAATCACTGGATTGTCAGCTGGCGTCTCGCCCTCATTAGCTAGAATACTGCATAAAATGTCTGTGTACGTCTCACAATCACATCTCCTACACACATTGGGAGTCTCATTCACGCTTTTTATTGCTGTTGTGTATTATCACAGGGCAACGTGACCTCCTATGTACTCCAGTTGTTTGTGCAATACACCAGAGATCTCAGGCAGTGCACTGATGAGAAGGTCACCTTCACCTGTGAGTTTAACAACAACTCCCTCGAGGTCAACTACAACATCGGCGTTGAAGGCCAGTCGGCCAGGTAGGTTGGTGACAAGTATAACCTCCCGTGGGTATCAGAATTATGGTTGCTTTTTGATCTTCAGCAACCTATGTTCGTCGTAACAGGCGATTAACGAGGATGGATGATGAGATTCGCTGACCGCCGTCATATAGCTGGAATGTTGCCAATTGCGGCGTTAACTAAGAGACAAACCAATACATAATCTGTGGTAATGTTTCTGTTCCTGGGTGTCAAACTAATACTTGCTACAAGTGGCAATGTATTATGATCCTGACGGTATGGACGACTTAGGCCAGAATCAATGTTTTAATTTCACTGGGTTGTGCATACTCACCTTTGGGTAAATTTTCACGTTTGTCTTCTAATATTTCAGCAATGATGCCACGTCTTTCCAGCGTTGGACGAGCAAACTTGTCCCCGCCAATATGGACACCACAGCCATAGATGGAAATCCACTCCCCCCTGTTCTAGCATTGGGAACTGATGTCAAAATAACGCTATCCGTTCAAAATGGTGCGAATTTCATAGCTCCTGGGAATCATTTCAGTATTATAAAACCCACCATATATATTCTAATGTCATTTCATCACGTAAACAAATTCCCGGTGGTGTGGGTGGACTGGTCGTCTCAGGCACCACAATTCGATGTGCAGAGTTGCTTCCCTTGTGAACGCAAGCCACCAATTACGTTTTCGAATTTCAGTTCGCCACAATTGCGGTTCTGGGTTTTACAGCACCATACACGTGTTCGTGTTCGTGTTCGTGCTTCTTTGAAATCATCAAGTTTCAAAAATATGATCATAGTTACATTTTATACCTTTAAACGTAGCGTGAAGCATAGAAACTTGCTGTATTAGATAATTTAGGCATAGATAGAGCTTGTTTTGCCATAAGTAGACACGTACTGCATTAACCCTTCCTCAATTTGAATCGAAAAATATTTCGTAGTGCTGATAATGTGTAGTGATATTAGTGAGCGAGTTGTGTTTGATGCCGCTAAGAACAGTATTGCCATCATGTCAGCCTCCAGCAGGAAGTGATGCTGATTGCTCAGCTAGGGTATTCTGTTAGCACGGGAATGGTGCATACAAACCAAGCTAAGATTCCACCCTTCAGCAAACAGTTTGAACGGTGTCCTCACAAAAGATAAACGTTCCATTTGTCAGACACGTTAAAACAACTAAAGGTATGTTTGGTTGCACTCAGGTACACATCACTGTTACCTTTAAGTAAGTAATGGACTGATCCACATTTATGGATAATGACTGTATTCATCATATACTATCGACAAAAAATAAGGGAACTAAGAAATTGAATGCAGCAAACGTAGAGGTGAAAGGGTGCATTACCGTAGCGTTGCAATGATAATGAAATTGCACATGGTGCATTACCAACACCTGATGCTCTGTCAACGTATTGGAGAACTCACAATCACTAATGTAAGAGAATTGAACACATGCTGAAAAATGCCTCCGAGGCAGTATCTCAATGAACAAACAAAATGGAGAATTGTGGAGATGATAGACGGAGGAACACTACTGTGCCAAGGTGCCCGAATGTTGGGTAAATCAAAAAGTGTAATTACACGCCTGTGGGACAAGTACCGTCAAACGGGTGGGGTTGCAATGAGAGCTGGGCGCACAGACGAAAATCAACGACACCACGACAGGATTGTCTCATTACATTAATGGCCCTACGCAATCGGTTCAAATCAGCACCTGCCATCAATAGGGAATTCCGTACACACACTGGGCGACGAATTTCAAACATTAAAAACCGGCTCTATCAAGCACGTCTGAAAGCAAGGCGGCCTTTCAAGGGTGTTACCCTTACAGATCACCATAGGCGCCAAAGATTAGCATGGGCTAGGCAGCATCAGGGACGGGCTTTGCGCCATTGGCGTTACACCATGTTCTCAGATGAATCAAGGTTTTGCCTCAGATTCACAAATGGCAGAAAACGTTGTTGGCGCTGTAGCGGTGAGCGGTATGCCAGAGCGGCAATTATTGACCATGATCGATATGGGTGTGGTAGTGTCATGGTGTGGGGCGGGGTTACAGATGACAGGCGATCAGATCTGGTCATCGTTAATGGATCCCTGACTGGTCAGCGATACGTTGACGAAATTTTGCGTCATGTCTTGGCTCAACTGGCTAGAATCATCGGCAGGAGTTTTGAATTCCAAGATGATAATGCCAGACAACATCGGGCCCAAATTGTCACAGCTGATCTCCGACGAGAGGGCATACAGACATTGGACTGGCCCTCTAAGTCCCCAGACCTGTCCCCAATTGAACATCTATGGGACATTCTTGGTCGAAGGGTGTACGCCAGGGACCCCGCACCCGCCAACCTGTCCCAGCTTGGTGCAGCTCTTCAGGAGGAATGACGGGCAATACCACGGGCAACCATCTGGACATTAATCAACAGTATGCCATCAACGTGTCGTGAATGTGTTGTCCAACATGGTAGACACACCAGATATTGAACTTTACGCCCACATTTGATTTAGTGGACATTCAGAGCAATTTCACATTCACTGTCATTTTATCTGTTCCCTTATTTTTTTTTTGTCGGTAGTATATATACAATAAATTAAGGTTATTTAACAAGGATGTTTAGTAGTACAAAATTTATCTTAAGCAGCATACTAAGCCATATATGTATCAGAATATATTTAGCTATTTAATTAATCACATTATAACCACGTGTAGTTCAGACAGGCAGCTCAGTCATTACAATGGCAGTTACCCAAATTTAAGCAAATGCCCCACAGCGTCAAAGAACCCCATATGGGTCTTGTCACCAGCACGCAGTCTCTCTTGCAGTCTCTTGAACGGTTAAGTCACTCAACTGCCGGAAGCGATCAGACATGTTTCTTTATAGAAGAATTTTGTATTGCACCATATCCCAGCTATATGAAGGTTTGGTACGACCTAAATTGTACAACGTAGTATTCCTTTTAAATGGTGCGGTCAATTTTATTAACTGCACTGCAGTAAATTCTTATAATGACACCAGGTCTAGACGAACCAGTGATTTTTAATGTAAACAATTTTCCACGCCTTATTAGATGAGTATTTCATTAGCATGCGAGTTGTATCATCTTGGCGTTCACTCTTCATCTCCAGTACCTGGACAGGATGGTATCATCATCCACTTCATCACCGTCCACAACAACAGAGCAGGGTTGGACAGGAGATCTCTTTCTCTGTACAATTATGGGTAAGTGGACACTCGAAACGTGGCATGCGTGTGTGGAGGCCATATCATTTTGAAGTATTGCAGTGGGATTCGAACCGCGAATCTGATGCGAAGTCGTAAGACCTGTCCATATTAAGCCAAAAGGTTAACTTTTTAATTAAGGATGTCATCTGTAGGATGACTCCACGCCTTCCTACATGTGCAGTGGTCAGTGTCTGTAAATGTTGAAATCTAAAATCGTGTATATTTTACATAATTATTTAAATATTTTTTCATCCAAAAATATTCATACTTACATCTCATGTTTACATACATGTACCAACGTTCAAACTTCAGTTTCTGTTTCTGTCCTTTATCATAACGAACTTCCCATGGTGACTGCCATCTACATTGATAAGTTGTAAATATTAACATTTGCTGAATGTATCACGATGCACAGTACACTATGACTAGATGTTGTGTTGGACATGAATTCCAGAATCCTTTAAGCAGTATCAGATCACATTTCCAATCTCAAAACCAATGGACTTTCTGAATGTAACCAACGAAAGTATTTGCTTTAACAGGTGCGCCCCTCAAGTTTACAGGGGCATCCTCATCACGCCACCCTACTTCTCCCCAGCCGGACAGAAACACACAATCTGCTTCTTCCTGAGGCTTTTTGTGTTTGAACATGACAGGAGTCTGTCCAACCCTGTTCTGGTCCTCAGAGTCGGATTTAAAGTCTTTAGCAATGCGGCTTCAGCTGTTATGGTAAGAATTCACTCTCCGGTCGTTTAACTCGAGGTTACGCTCGGCAGTGAGACAGGGGGAAAAAATCGCAGTATTGCTTCTTCAGCACCCAGCACTGATGTAGCCGTTAGCAGTTCATAGACATGACATCGCACCAAGAGCGTTCCGTCTTGTTTCACAAGAGGGTAATATCTTTGACCAGGTTTTTTTCCGTTTTGCTTTCATAGCTTTCATTGCTTTCATGTGCAAGAGCTTGTCGTTATTTGGTGTTAAGTGATTCTTTTAAACTGAGAAGTCATATCAACGTTGATTATCAATATGTCAACATAAGTCATGCGTAGTGTCAGATGTAAGTTTCCCCAAACGTTTCGTGAACTGATCGTTCACCAAGTCACATTCCGCTTCAAATTTCAGCCGGTGTGCAGTAGCGGCCGAAGGAAACGACAGGCTGAAGAAGGAGATCTCACCTTGTCAAGAACTTTCAAAGTCACTATTGAAGAAAATGGCGCCCAAACAGGTAATTCAATGCAATATAACTGAGAGCTCCAACCTTGAACAGAGCATCATGCCCACTTCAACTATCTCTCGCCAATATTCATTGGAATCAGTGAGTACAATATAAACAATCGTCTAAGTGCTTATATCGATTGTCAGCGTGGCCCATAGTGCTGACTGCTCCCTTGAACAACACCACTATATGCTTCACAATCTTCTCGGATGTAGAAACCAACCTGTCTGTTGACTCCTTTAATATCTCTTTTAAACTCTTTAAAAGGACCCAGTCGAACCAAACGTTAGACGGTTGACATTTCCTTTAGCCCTCTTATTTTTAAAGTTCACTTTTGAATGAAATAGTATTTCCCTAACAAATTCCAAATGGCCGATATTCAGTCTTCTACAGAGTAGCCACCTATGGGGTAATTGGCAGAACAAACAAACAGGAGTAATAACACTGGCATTGATACATAATAATCAGTTTGACCGTTCCAGCTATCTCGCTAACTTTATCTGTCATAGCTGGATAAGAGGCATTGATAAAATAAAACACTTCAACTTGTGATGTCCCTAACATGTCATGTTATTACATCCCTACAGTAGTGAAAGGAGAGATCAGCACTGGTGGCTCCAAAACATGGATGATTCCAGCCGTGGTTAGCATTGGCTGTGTCGCCATCGCTGTTGCGGTCATGGCGATCTTCTTGGGCCTCATCATCACCAGACGAAGGCGAAGGTCGAATATGAAAACAACTGACGACAAGTCTTATTATACACATTAAGACTCCAATTTTCCAAGAAGCAATGTCAACAGGGGAAGTATACCCAGCTGTCTCTTTGAGCTGGGTAACATAACATTTGATGTTCGGGGTACATTTCTAATTGACACTCTCAATGAACACTTTCCTGCCCAAACAAAACTGTAGAAGCATTGAATATTAGAAATAGAAAACATACAATTTTATATTCTTGTTAAGCTTCTGGACGACTCTCCCGGTCAATACTTCCCTGCCCAAACTTAGCCGTGCATTTTGTATTAGAAGCATTGTGTATTAGAAGTTGAAAACACGAAGTCAACATTGCTGTCCTGGCTGGAAATGTACAAAATGTACATACAAGTTTAGGATTGAGCACTCGTATTTTACATGATGCACTTTGTTATTATAGATTTACTTGACATGGCATATTTGGAGATCTTTCTCGTGGTAGCACATCGGGATATATCTGTGACGGAAATACATTTTGTGGGATGTGATTCATGGTTTTATATTGGTTTTATATTTGGTGTCATTACTGATTTTCTCTGACCCATTCCTATAATTTTAAGAACTATTTTTCCCTTTACATCAAACGGAATTTGTTTCTGAGGATAATCAAGATTGTGTCTTCCTTTGCACTGACGTTCTATATTGAACACATGTTTGGTATCTTTGTAGCATGTAATTCATGTTTGTTTATTGGTTTTATACATATGTTTGGGTGTTTGGTGAAATGTCATTCATGGTTTTATATTGGTTTTAACCATATGTTTAGTACCTTTGTTGAATTAGATTCATGGTTTTATATTGGTTTTATACATATATTTGTTATCTTTATGGGATATGATTCAAGGTTTTATATTGGTTTTATACGTAAGTAGAGGAAAATGTAGGAAATCATGACAACAATACCAGTTACCTCCTAATTTCAATAGAAATCGATGAAGCGTGAGCGAGTGTACAATGGAGGGAGGTACTTGAATGCGTAGTGGACCGAAGAAGACTCTCTAAAGATGTGGTAACAAAGGGAACAAAGGAAGGTATTGAATTGAGCGGAGTGAATGAGATGACACAGGTGTTCGTCGTCTGCTAGCGGTTTCCCCCGTCTGCAACGGGTTGGATGTGAATAAGAAAAAAGTTCGTCTGCTTTAGGACAGTCGTCTGCTAGCGAACCACTTCCGGTTTACACGTCCGAGGAAAGTAGTTGAAAAATTGACATGTCTGCTAGTATGCGGTGTAATGAATTAAGCATGATACCGAGAAGAAAACCGACATCATAGCTTCTAAGCGAGAAAGCTATTTTAGTTATGAGCTAACAGTGGATTGAACTCGACTTTGTTATGATGCTGTAATATGTAAGCGAGGAACCATCAACGATCGCTTCATTAGAATGGACGAATCTGTATTTTTCTCTCAAATTTTCATTAACTATATCGTAGTGATTACCTGCATCGTGAATTTATCTTTGGAAAAAGGAAACTCGAATTTATGGACTGCGCTTTTAAGTTCCTCGCTCGGATATCTCCTTCCCAACCCGAGAATTAAGTCTCAACCGTCACGAGCTAGTTGAATATCACCTACATTTACCGAATAGATAACTCTCAACAGCCGTGTGTCAGCGCTGAATAAACATTTAGGTGTACACTATCCTAGAACCATGTCGAGGAATGGAATAGGTCTCAAGGAATCGGATGATTGTATAGCATTCCATCTGTGGAGTGTGAGTATGTTATGGTGTACTCTGACTGTGCAGAAGATGTTCTAAATATAGCAGATATAAAAAGAAGATACACAACGCATAACGAATTATTCAGGGGTGAGACTTCCTTACGACTCGGACGCATCTGTGCATGCTAGCCCAGGAGGAAAACAGCCATCCTATATAGAATGTCGAGTGAAAGAATGACTTTCTTCACCTGGAAGTACGTGCAACGTGAACCCGATCGTATCCACGAAACCGTCGTCATACAACTCAGTGGTTTCAACATCGGGAACACTGTATACAAGATGCCGAGACGAAAGTCCCCAACGAGAATAAGAAGTTAAAACGAGTCATCGTGAAGAAGATGAAGGCTATCATTGTAGATGAAGTAGAATTGGTTGAAGCGACTGACTACATGTTGTCGTTACTGACTCTATGTTACACTTTGGAACTCTGCAAAATTATCAAAAGACTCAGCGTTCAATTGTGTTTCGGATGCATGTTTGAACAAGCTGACAGTCAGTACCATATGTGTCAGGACTTGTCCGACCAACACAAAATACACCAATACATGAACACAGCCTTAGACGAAGTGAATGACGATCGTGTGATCGATCAATGGATTCGACTCAAGTTTAAACAGCGTGTCTTCCCATGTAGTCTGTCGATACCGATGTAAAGATTATCTGGACACTCACTTTAAAACAAGTGACTGGTTAAAAGACATACACGTGTATGGAAAATGTTGTATTTAGAAAGAGCATTCCGAAGAACTAACTGTATGCTGTTGTGTATCATCCGAAATTACATGTTGTTATTTCAACACCTGTACACTCATGTTTGCCTTATATGTAATAAAACGATAGTATTGTACATTTCACGGGTCTGTTATCATTGACGTGTATATAAAAGAGAGTAGGTCTACACGAGGTTTACAGTTGAAATAACCTCACGAGATAGAAACATGTCATCGTCTCACCGGAAAGCCTTAGAGGGCTATTACTTTAACCCTAAGTCCCCAGGTGCGTATTACGGTGCCTCCAAATTTCAACAAAGTTTGAAAAGACTAGGGAAAAAGGTTACCGCATCCAAGGTAAAAACCGAGTTGAGTAAGCATGATGCTTACACGCTTCATAAGCCGGTGAAACACAAATTTCAACGACTCAGAGTACTGATTAACCGATTAGATCAGCAATGGGATGTTGATCTCATGGATATGAGCCGCTATGCTAAGGCGAAAGATGGTATGCATTATGTGCTGATAGCCATTGACATTTTGTTGCGCTATTTATGGGTAGTCCCTTTGAGAAACAAGAAACCCGAGTCCATCGTGCAGACTTCAAAAGCATATTGTCGCAAGGTCGCAAGCCACACAAGATCAGAGTGGATAAAGGTACAGAATCTAAAGGGGTTTTCCAGGACTTTACAGAGCGTCAATCGATCAAACTGTTCGTCAAACAGAACGAAGACATTAAAGCGAATTACGCTGAGAGGGTTATTCGAACATTGAGGACGCTCATAGCGAGGTACCTAACCCACAAGAACACCCAGCGTTATATTGATGCGCTACCAGAGTTAGTGTATAATTACAATCACACCGTACACAGAAGTTTAGGCGAGTGTGCTCCTGCAGACGTGAACCAACAAAACCAAGTCAAAGTGTGGGCACATTTATACATGAATCCATCCACATTCACGACACAGAAGCTCCATCCTTTTAAGTATAAAATAGGGGATATTGTGAGAATTAATTATTTGAGAAAACCGTTTGCCAAGGAACACAACTTACGGTGGACGGAAGAGTTATTCAACGTAGCAACGCGTTATCGACGACAACATATTGCTTTATACACACTAAAATATTTTCACGACGAGCTCTTAAAGGGACGCTTTTACGAAGAAGAATTACAGCGTGTCGATAAAAATCTAGATGCAGCATGGGATATTGAAAAAGTGTTAAAGAAAAAGAAAGTCAAAGAGAAATTGTATTATTTCGTTAGGTGGGCAGGTTGGCCACCGAGTTTCGATTCCTGGGTAGAAGCAAGTGAAGTGAAGAATAAGTAAACAAAAATGGATAAATACATCGTGTTTAATAGTGCAGACTCTCACGAGTATTACCCGGACAACACGTCTTACCGTTTCCGCGTGAAACTGTCTCAACATTTGAAACTGGAAGGCATGTGGATGGTTGCTCTGTTAGAAATGAAACTAGGCAAACTAGAGTTGAAAGATACCAAAAATACCTCCATTGACGTGTTGTGTAATCTGTGCGATAGTTCACATGTAGGTCAACAGTATTTGCCGTTGTTGAGACGACTCGATTTGAGAGACGGGCCCAACTATTATTTTCATCAACCTTGGTACTTACCCGTCATCGTGAGAGACACCTCGGAAATCGAAGTGTGTATAAAGTGTGCAGAAGGAACCTCGCATTCATTTCTGACAGAGACCGTGAACGTATCACTCGTGTTGCGACGGTATCCCTTTCTGGGTTAAGCGTGATGGAACGGAAACTGTACACCCCCGACACCAAGAAGTTTGTGGACTTTTTTAGTAGATCGCAGAACTAAGCACGAGGGAAAACAGCTGGTCAAAGGTCGACCTAGGTCGCGTATCATTCCCATCGCACCCCAAGTCAAAGTACAACCTAGTCGCGACTCGAACTTGAACATAACAATGACATCGCCTAATCAGAACGTGGTCCAGAGAGCCGAAGCAGCCCAGAAGCGAACCAAAGCTATAAAACGCAAAGCAGGGGACAAGATTATCACTTCCAAGAAAGTACGTCGCGAGGGTAACAGCTCTAAACGATCCTTCATCGAGTTTAAAAATACTCCTGTAATCGATCCCAGAGACATCTTCAACCAGTAACCATGTCTGTACTGACGGAGAAGGAGTTTACCGAAGCCCTGCCAAATAGCTTAGATTTATTCGAACTGCCTCCCTATCAAACCAGCATCCTGCAACACTATTACAAGAACGTAAGACCCCTGTCTGTCATCACCGATTCCAGTCCGGTGGAATTTCACATTCCGAACGGCGGGAAAGACTACATCGACTTGAGCAAGACTCGACTTCACGTCAAACTGAAAGTCACTCATACCAACAAAACACCATCAGCCGATAAAGAAAAAGTAGGACCCGTCAACCTCACTTTACAAAGCTTGTTGAGTCAGGTGAGCGTGTTCCTTCAAGGTCAACAGGTCAGTTCCAGCAATGGCGGTTATCCATACAAAGCTCTCATGGAAACTCTCCTCGACTATGGAACAGATGCTCAGACTAGCCAACTGACCAGTCAACTGTTTTACAAAGATTCGTGTATCACCGTGGACGAGTTTAATTCCGGGGACCCCTATGCCGGTGGGACGTGGGACTCAAACTGTTTCGTTCCACCTCGTCCTTTGTCTTGATGTCGGAAGAGACCCATAAGGATTACACCGTCGAACTGCAAGACGTGTACCTGAAAGTATGCAAACTCAGAATCAACGACGCTCTCATCTTGGCCCACAACAAACAGTTCGAGAAAGGTAACGCCATGTACCCGTACGAACGATCCGTGGTCAAGATGGCCTCGGTCGCCTCGTCCAGTCTGAGTTTTAACTGTGACGCCATGTTTCAAGACGAAGTTCCCAGTCGACTGATTGTCGCCATGGTGAGGTCCGATGGGATGAACGGATCGTACACGGTCAATCCCTTCTGTTTCCAAGGTAACGTCGTTAAATGCATGGGACTGTACTTGAACGGTACCAGTGTACCTGGACGTCCGTTAGAGTCGGACGACATCGAGGCTTATGTCAACCTGTACGACTGGAATAACGAATGGCACAAAGACAAAGGTTTGAACTTGGACCGCACGGAATTTCACATTGGTCATGCCTTGTACGTGTTTAACCTGCAAGACATCCAAGGTGACAGAGGGGAATATCTGAACCTGGTCAAGTCAGGTAATCTGAGATTAGAAGTCCAGTTTGCTCAAGCCCTCGCAAGTACCTTCAACGTCATCGCCCTGGCAAAATTTCCAGCTCTCCTCGAAATCGACCAAAGCCGAAACGTGTTTCTGAAGTAGTCAATGTATAAACAACAGTTACAGTGTGCCATCCATAGTGATCCCAGACTCCGTACACACATGGTGGGTGTGTATGCGAGAGATACCTTAGTTAGCATCACCACACCTTACAAGGGTAGACCGTGGGGGTGTGTGGCTAACACGGACCTAGCACATGGCGAGGGTCAACACTGGGTTGCTTTCTACTTTGACGGGAGCGGAGTCGGCAAGTTTTTCGATAGTTGCGGACAGAAACCCAGTTACTATCATCGTGAATTTGAAGGCTTTGTCAAGAGACATTCTCACAGTTATCGATACAATACGACTGTTTTACAGCAATCTAGTTCGAGTGCTTGTGGATACTACTGTTTATATTACGCAATACAGAAATGTAGAAATAGAGCTAGTTTACGTGATATCGTACAGATGTTTTGTACAGACAAAACACGCAATGATGCTTATGTGAATCGCTTTATCTGCGACTATTTCAAGTACTGCTTTACGTGTTCTACCATATAACACGATCTTTCTTCCTGTAGAGTGTTAGACGAGTGAATAAAACCAGAGAAAATGTCTATTGTGTTTCACTTCTCTATTGTATGCACGGATGTATGGATGGTTGTATGTATGTATGTAAGGTTATATGGGTTTATGATTATTTAAGACCAAGGTATCGCAACTACGTTTCAATGTCAGGTGTGACACCGTACGAATCAGACATGGTGAGATACGTTCTGAGACATTACACGTTTTTCAGACTTCTTTCGTTGAATGATTACGAAGAAACCTTGCGCGATATTCGTCGCATGAATGACGAACAAATCAAAGGTACTAAAGCCATTGTAAAGCGAATGCTCGACGGTCGCATCTCTGTGACACGAGTTGAGCAACATCGTTTCTTACAGCCTCATCCTCACAACCATTATTTGAGAATGTTACGGCGTATCGCTCGACCCGAGACGACGAATATAAGCATTAAACGAACCCTTTTAAACCATACTCCCTTGATCCGGTTTATATTCAAGTACGAACACGTCAGACAGGTCAGAGACGAAGCTCAAAGAGCTATCCAAAGAGCAGTTAGACGGCAACAGCAACAACGGCCACACGTACCGAGAGCTGCATAAATAACCCACACCAGTGACGGATTGTATCAGTGTTTAACTAACACTCTATGAACAAACACTATGTCCGAGAAATGTTTGCTCTCTTTGGTCACACCTACCACCTTGTCCGTGATCGGAGGTACGTGTAGTGGGAAAACCTATTGGACGAAACGGTTGTTACAGAATGCCAGTACAGTCTTTGATAAGCCACCAAACCTAATCGTGTATTGTTACGGGGTCTGGCAGGATCTGTACGGCGACATGCAGCAATCTATTGATAACATTCAGTTTCACGAATCTTTGCCTAACGAAAACTATTTACGTTTGTGGTCCGATCAGTCTCACAAAAAACATGATTCTCGTGCTAGACGATCTCATGATGGATATATGTACCAGTAAACTCATGTTAAACGTGTACACCACCTTGTCGCATCATCTAGGCATTACAGTAATCAATCTGCTATAGTCCGTCTACCCTTAAGGTCCGTGTTCACGGACTGTAAGTGTGAATACGCATATGTTCGTCTTGATGAGCAATCCCCGTTCCGCGCACGAATACAAGATTTTAGCCTCGCAAATATTTCCAGGTCAAAGCAAGTATTTTTCGGAATCCTATAAGGATGCCGTGGAAGGGAGGAAATACGGTTACTTAGTCGTTGACGCTTCACCGTACAATGACCCTGAATACGGACGCTTACGCACCGGTATCTTACCCAATGAACTTTGCACCGTCTATTTTCCTAAATAAAAAGCGATCCGCATGGGATAGCTCGGTCAGTGTTACAGCAACCGTGCTATGAGCAAGGTCTACTTTTGGGAGATTGTGTGTAACCCACCACCCTCTATCATATCGATAAGAGCTAGTCGGAGAGAAGAGATCGTTTTAAAAAAGAGCTCTAAGTGGTTTTCATTGAAAGAATCGTGTGTAAACTCACTTCGACAAGCTTGGCGGACAGGGGTGGATCTACCTAATTTATATGGTGGACCTACATGCTACGTTTACAAAAAGGTTCGCTACACACCATGAGTCGGTGTATTGAAGACAACACGTACATTTCTCCGCGTACTGAATCGGTCTAAACCCTTACAGCGTAAAACATTACTGTCTCATCCAACCAAACCCCAGTTTAAGGCGATCATCACGTTGTTACATAACATCATCATCGGTTACATTCCCGTGACAGATCACGAGAAAAAGATCCTGTATCGGTGCAGAAAGATCATTCTGTTACTAGCCAGCAAACGAGGAGGATACAAGGCTAAAAAGGAGTTGCTGGTTTCCTTTCACTTTATATTACCACCTTGTGTTCAAGCACTGGATCAATATTTCTATCAGTCGGACAATGACGAAACCTATGATCCTGTTATCTCGCGAGACGTACCATCGCCTGATCCATCCTCCTCCTCCGAAGATGGAAGCCAACCCCCCTCCAGTTCCGAAACTCCCACCAGCCCCTATCCCGCACCGGGAGCAGACTCCAGTAGCCAACACTACAACCGCGACAGCAGCCGTGGAGCGTGATGGGTTCATCCACAATAACACCGTCTCGCCGCATGTACCGCAAATGGGAGGAGGGAATGCAACAACTAGGCATCCAACCCTACACTGTCCCGATGTTTTAGATCCACTTTTACATCACGTCCAGACGAACGAACAAAAGGGAAAATTAGTGTCGCTATGGCAATATCTCAACCAACAAAAAGAACTTGGTCGCATTAACTGGAACGCTAACCTCGAATGGTTGGATGAACACGGACGACCTATGTCACATTCTAATGTGATTGACTGCATTCGGCAGTTTGTGCTACACAGAAATGATTCGAACAGTGATGACTTGCAAACTTTCCTATTACTCCTGAAACAACTGCCCGGATCACAGACCTTTTTCTCACAAGTAGGAAAAGGTCAGCAAAAACGAAAATTACCTACCGAGAACAAACCAAAAACTATGTTCGTTCGCAGTAAAGTAAAATGTGGTGTGCCTGGAACAAGGAAATCAAGGCAACTAGAATCCTTTAAGTAACCTATTTCACGTTAGCTGGTGAATGTGACGATTATATGATGTAGTTATAAATTATGTAGTGTTTTGTGTAAATCACTAGTGTCGGAATAAAAAGCTAGTAAAACATTTCATTTGTGTGTATGTGTTGTTCCTAGATGTGCGAGTTGTTTGGATGAGCTCGCATTGAAGCAATATGACTGTCATGTCGGTGAACAGATATTATTTGCAAATTATCTCCCCTGGACCATACCTTCAAGATGTTGTTCAGTACCAACTACATCATCTATTTATCTCCTCTCACACCATGATGATTGTGAATAATACAAAATAAAGCTGGCAAAGTTTCTAGCTTACAACAATAAATAATAATAATACTCTTTACAACATCTTGAAGCTTTGGTTCAGGTGACATTTGAAATAAAGACAAAACAATCACAGAGCATTACAAAAACGATTTAATATATAAAAATCAACATATAATAATCACAGCACCTTTGATTTGAACTGAGTCTTGTATAGCATACAGTAAATTACCTCAGTTATATAAAAAACAATTTCCAAAATAAATATCCGCATCACCCTTGATCGTCAAGATTCATTATTATTATTATTATTATAGTTGTGCAATGCACGTGTAAGGTAAAAAAAAATAATAATTTTTTTTTAAAAAACCAAACAAAACAGCAAAACCCAAAGGAACATACATATAATCAAAAATTAAAAAAACATCGTTTCAAAAATTTCAAAAATTACAATCTCCACATCACCCTTGATCGCCAAGATTCGTTATTATTATTATAGTTGACGATATATATGTAAGGTAAAAAAAAACAAAAACCAAAAAAAAACCAAAGGAACATACATATTTTTAAAAAATAAAAAACATCAAAATTTCCAAAATTACAATCACACTCTCCGCATCACCCATGACAGCCAAGATTCGTTATTATTATTATTATTATAGTTGTACGATATACATGTAAGGTAAAACAACAAAACAAACCCAAAAAACAAAACAATAAAATAGACAAAAAATCACATCGTCACTGATCACAGTTACTGAGTAGTCCCGAGTTTTAATGAGTAGTCTAGTCCGAGTTTTAATGAGTAGTCCGAGTTTTAATCCGTCCAAAGTTTCTTTTCCCACTTCATTATACGTCAGTAAAGCGGATTGCTTTCTTTGACCTTGTATAATAGGGTGATCGATGACTTGATCTTGATATTGTCGCATGGCATGTCGAGTGGAAGATGTCTGTGGGGTGGATGAAACACTTGGTGGGGGTAAATGTACTGATACCAGAGTGTGTTCTTGTGCTGCTTCTGCTTGTGGTGCTGGTGGTGGTGGTGGTGATGGTGGTGTATGTCCTTGAGATGTTGAGGGCGACATCAGAATCGTAGATGCTGTAGACGAAAAGGTCTGTAGGGGGATGTGTTCGGCCGAGTGTGAATCAGAAGCAGGTGATGAAAACCTAGAAGTCGATGTCCGCGATGATGTTGGTGGTGAACGACATGCAGTTGTACATCTTTTATGTAACCAAATGAGGACGTGAAGGACCATACTGCAAATGACGAGAATGACGACCGCAATCATCTCCATGAAAATATCTGAAAACATATATCCTAGAATGAATCACAGTGACAAACACATACGCACGTACACATGCGCGCGCGCACGCACACACACACACACACACACACACACACACACACACACACAGAGTTACTGGCAGTATCCTATAGTTTATAACTGTTACATTCATAGAAAATGTTAGATTGTTGATTCGTGATGAGATAAACATGTTAACCATCGACTTACATGTTTTTGGAACACATAACTTAGCAGTATGATAACAGTTAGACAAACAAAATAACAATATTGAGATGGCATATGATAGGTTACCATTGATCTTGTTGACCAAAGTAGATAGCATCGATGACGACGACAATGTTGATGATGATGACGTTTTCGGTAGAGAAGATGGTGCGCCTGTGTTCAACTCTCTTACTATCCCGGTAGGCATGTTGATTGAAGTAGTAGTGGTTGGTAGTCTCTCTGTGTTAGAAGTTGTTGTTCTCCGTGTGACGGTAGCAGCACTGGCAGTAGTGGCAGCACTGGCACTGGTAGTGGTGGGTGTGGTCTTTGGGTTTGTGGTGGTGGTAGCGATCGCTGCTGACACTTTGGTGGGCTTACTGACGGTGGCGGTGGCGGCTGTCAACGATGTCAAGGTGGTTCCAGTGGTGTCTGTATAAGCAGAGGTATATGTGTAAATCCTCCCAGAGTAACCGTGTAAAGAATTCTTCACATTCATTACAATATTACTCACCGTTTCGTCAAAGAATCGTAATATATCCTTCCTTCCTTCAACACGTAAAATACAGAAATTATGATATATTTTCATCAACAATGTCATGGCTGACATTAGCATTTTACTTTATCGTCGCGCAGTTTCATCCATTATTGTAAAGGGTAAGGGAGATAACTCTCTACTAATGATACTTGCATACCGTCAACAACATTTTAATCGAGCAAGTATAATATTCGCATCTATGTACTATTACTTACCGCATGGAATACCGTTGATGATGATAGGGTTTATGGGATCTAACACATCACCGCAAGCTACAGTTCCTCCTGTAATGGATGTTAGTTTTGGGAACAAACTTCCCCTAATTGTCAAGCTGGCATTATCCTCTTCTGGCAGTTCTATTTTCACGATGGTCTTGTACACATATCCTTCTCGATGAAGGTATTGTACGTTTCTGCGCTGACACGATAGAATTAATCCGGAAGGCTTGGTAGTAGGGAATAAATGATGAATAAAAAACCTCAAACCACAAATGTACCTAATAACCTCGTTTGAACAATGGAATGAGGTCATTGATGACGTCATCAGTGTACTTGGTGAGTTGTGTCAACAGTGTATTGTATGGGTATTGTTCTAAAGTCAACAGAGAGCTGAACAGCTGTTGATTCTATTTAATAAAAAAAAGGACAGGAGTTGAATGGGTAATGTTTTCAGGGCACCTGTGTCAATATGGGTGTGGGTTATGGAGTGAATGAGTATTGTTCTCAGGACACCTGTGTCAATATGGGTTTGGCTTATTGTACAACCCATGCACCTGTGTCAATCTAACACAGCTGTGTCCATAGGGTGTGAGATATGAAACTGTATGGTCTTCATTCCACAGACTGTATCTATTTCAATAAAGGGCGGGTCTTCCCGGTTTGAATGGGTATTATATTAGAAGCACCTGTGTCAATAAAACGGCAGAGTTGTGAATTTGAATGGGTAAATAAAAAGAAAAAAGGGCAGGAGTTGAATGGGTATTGTTCTCAGGACACCTGTGTCAATATGGGTGTGGGGTTATGAAGTGAATGAGTATTGTTCTCAAGGCACGTGTGTCAATATGGGTTTGGCTTATTGTACAACCCATGCACCTGTGTCAATCTAACACAGCTGTGTCCATAGGGTGTGAGATATGAAACTGTATGGTCTTCATTCCACAGACTGTATCTATTTAGCCAAATACCATTTATGAATAAAATCACTGTCTATATAAAGCTTTGGATTTATCATCTAAGCCTCACTCAGGTTCCATCCTTACTTGTCTTCAGTTTTACACAGCGATCAAACTTTCTGTTTTCTTGTGTTGGAAATTTTGAGGAATCAGTTTCACTTTAACAAGGTAAGTTTGTGTTTCTTGTTTACATTTATTTCCATATCAGTTTTACATTTAATATCTAAAAAAAAAGAATGTTTTTAGAAGATATTTTGTTTGTTTGTTTGTTACAGAATCATTGTCAACACATTGACACTGTTTGCTAGACAGCTAAGATGAATCTTTTAGAATTAAACAGCATCCAAGATAATTGGACGTATATAATAGAAAATTTGGAAACCTCACTCTTTCTGGATTTCTTGTTCGAAAAAAGAATGTTAACGTTTGCACGTTTTGACGACTTCAGATTGCTTTTAAACCAAAAGAATAGGATTGAAACAAATCGTCAACTTATGCCATTTCTAATGAGACATAGCAATTTCCAACAATTGATAGAGGCGCTAAGGATATCAACCAATGATGAAATAGCCAATAGAATCTGTCACTCCTTCCAAAACTTTCCCCAATAGAAATACAAAAGAGTTATATGAAAGCATTTTTATTTTAACAGTTCTCTATCTTTTATTCTATTTCTCTTTCTGTTATTTGTTTCAGAACACTTACAAACATTATGAATTTTGTTTGCTAGACTAAACGTGAAATGTCTTCTCCATCCAAAATAAATTCATTCACTTGTGAGTTTTGTCAAAAACAGTATAGTAGCAAATATTGTCTTCTTAGACATCAAAAGAACTGTGGTCCATCTTGCACTATATTCACTTGTGAATATTGTTCCAGAATATTTCTTAGGAATGATAATTTAAAGAGACACATGAAAAGCCAACACAATGATTCCCTCTCTAAATATTCTTGTCCCACATGTTCAGAAACCTTTTCCTCTGCCAAAGCCCTCGCAAAACATAAAAGACAAACACATTTTGGAGAACAAAGTGGTGCTGGAGCCAGTAGTAGCAGTAGCAGCAGTAAGAGGAGAAAGAAAAATAATGAAAAATCGTGTTCTAGACAGGCCTTGAAAGGGAATGTGAGAGAATTCGACTTCATCCCAGAGGGTTATGATGGTATTGATCCCTATTACTATCTTGTGAAAATTCAACCCGAAGTCATAGAACACTTGGAGTCGGAAATTGAAAGTAAACGCTCCATAAAGTGGGGCCTTTGCGCTCAATTTATATTTAGTAAAACCAATGCAGATGGCTCAACTTCCTTTACTGAGCCCTACTTCAGATACAAAATGACAGCAGTAACAGAAGGTGACAATTTGGATGAAAAGTATGTGGAAGGCATCAATACCATCATGCAACTGATGGATAATTACGAAGGAGAAAGTTCAAATTTAAACTTTGAGAAGGTATTGAGTGTCAAATTATCTGTGGTCAAATTTCAACCTTTTAACGGAAGTTCATATTTACCCTTACCCTCATCATTAGCGAACAAACGTTGTCTTGTAAACATCAAAAACACAGATGATGACATGTGTTTTGTTTACAGTATTTTGGCTCATCTGTTCCCTGTTGCCTCTAACTTGGTCAGAGAGCAAGTGAGTCACTACAGAGACAAAGTTGTAGAGTTGGATTTGACTGGTTTTGAATTTCCCATGCCTCTCAGGCAAATCTCCAAATTTGAAAAAGCAAACAATCTGAGTATCAATGTGTATGGTGTAGATGAGGATGAGCATCAGGATTGTGTAGTCTTCCCTTTGCGGATTAGTACAGATATGACCCATCTTCCAAAGGAACGTCAGATTGATCTGTTACTCTTAACTCAAGAAGTAGAGGAAGACAACCAGTGTCCATTGTCTCATTATGTATTGATCACAAGTTTACAAGCTTTAGTCAGGAAATCTGACGATCGTCACAGCAAATTCATTTGTCGAAAGTGCTTGTGGACCTTTAGCTCTGAAGAGAGGTTGGTAAAGCATTATCCTTACTGTCATGACAAAGCACAACGAATTAAAATGCCCAAACCAGAGAGAGCTGTTCGGGAATTTGGATTGGGACAGTATTCCAAGATGAATAAGGTCCCTTTTGTTATCTATGCAGATTTTGAGTCTGTATTGACTCCTTTACATGAAAATGAGGGAGAGAGGAAAAGTTGTCACGTCCAAGAGCACATTCCTTGTGGTTACAGTTATCAAATCGTGTGCAGGGAACCCGACCTGTACTCTTTTCCTATTCGAACTTATAGCGGGGAAGATGCCACCAATCATTTCATGACACATCTGTTAGATGATTATGATCAAATCATGGAGATTTTAAACAATCCAGTTCCAATGAAGCTGACTCCTGAGGAGAAAGCAGATTTAGATTCAAAAAACCTTTGCTATCTTTGTGAAAAAGTTGTATCTCCAAATCAGCGGCACATAGATCATGATCATTTGACAGGTCGAGTCAGAGGTCTCTGCCACAATCATTGCAATGTCAATTACAAAGAATCTTCCTTCGTGAATGTGATTTGTCACAATGGTTCGAGGTATGACAACCATTTGATTCTTCAAGCCGCAGAACTGTTCACTGATCGCAAGCTGACTTGCATAGGTCAAAATTCAGAACACTTTATCATGTTTCAAATTGACCATTTGCGTTTTTTGGACAGTTTCAAATTTTTGAATACCAGCTTGCAAACTTTGGCAGAAAATTTGAAAAGCAAAGGTCAAGGAGAGTTTGTCTATTTGACAAAAAACTATCCCCATCATGTGGATATGTTGACTCGAAAACTGCCCTATTGTTACGAATATGTGGACAGCTTTGACAAATTGGAGGAGACAAAATTACCAAGTCGTGATGAGTTTTATTCGTCTTTGTCCGAGGACACTATTTCCAAAGAGGATTACGACTTTGCTCATGACATTTGGATGACTTTCAAAATTTCGTCTGTTAGAGAGTTTATGGAGTTGTACGTTGCGGTCGACACTCTTATTCTGACCGATGTCTTTGAGGCTTTTCGAGACATGTGCTTGAGCTACTACAGGCTCGACCCTTGCCAGTACTTTACTTTACCAGGCATGGCTATGGATGCCTGTCTCTTGATGACAGGCGTGAAACTAGACCTCATGACCGAACCTGACCAGTACAACTTTGTCTCCAATGCCATTAGAGGGGGCGTGGCTAGCATCAATCACAGATATGCCCAAGCCAACAACAAACATATGCATGATTTTGACCCTTCCAAACCAGAATCATACCTGTTGTATTATGACATAAACAATTTGTATGGTGCAGCCATGAGTTGCCCTTTACCACTAGGACAGTTTGAATGGGTAGACGAAACGGAAATAGATAATATTGATTGGTTGAAACTTGACCCTGAAGGTGATGTGGGTTACATTGTGGAGTGTGATTTGGAATATCCACGTCACCTTCATGTCATGCATCAGAGTTTACCTCTCGCACCCACCAAAGAAAGCATACCCTTCGAAGAATTTTCGCCCTATCACAAAGACTTGCTTGCAGAGTTAGGTATGTTAGGAAAAAAGAACGAAAAAAAGCCGGCCACTGGGACCAAACTTTTTTCAACCCTGAAAGATAAACAAAACTATGTCTCTTATTTCGGAACTTTGCAACAGTATCTACAGCTAGGTTTGAAATTGAAAAAAGTACACCGAGTTTTGAAATTTTCTCAATCAAAATGGATGGAGTCATACATCGACTTCAACACGAAGAAACGAAAAGAAGCTACTGACAATTTTTCCAAAGACTTGTTTAAACTCCTGTCAAATGCTGTGTATGGAAAACAATTGCAAAATGTACGAAATTACAAGCAAATTGAACTTATCACGACCGAGGAAAGGTTGAGAAAATACACAGCAAAACCAAATTTTAAAAGTGTCAACATATTTTCTGAAAACTTGGTTGTGGTGAGCATGGAAAGAGTGTCTGTCACTCTGAATCAAAATGTCTCGGTGGGCTTCACTATCCTGGAACACGCTAAAAGACTTCTTTACGATTTTCATTACAATGTAATGCTAAAGGAATACAGCAGCAACCATGTCCGAGTTTGCATGACGGACACCGATAGTCTATTTTATCAGATCTGGTCCCCAGTGGGCGGTTCTCTTCGTGACCCTGAAGACTTTTTGCTTGCTAAATGTCACCTGTTTGACACATCCAACTACCCTCCAGGTCATGACCTTCACTCCATGGATAGACACAAAGCGATAGGTTTGATGAAAAATGAGGTAGGATCAAAACAGATAAGAGAATTTGTGGGACTTCGTGCAAAAAACTACAGCTTCATTTTTGACAAAACTCCAAGTGAAAAGGTGGAAAAATGCACTGCCAAAGGTGTGAAGGAAGCCTTCAAGAAAAAACATCTTCGTCACCAAATGTTCAAAGATTGTCTTTTCAAACGCAAACAAAGTTTTGGCTCTTATCATCAGATTCGTTCTCTTCACAACACCCTTTACACAGACAAAGTGACCAAATTGACCTTAACACCTCAAGATGATAAACGTTATCTCCTCCCGAATGGGTTGGAAAGTCGACCTTACGGTTTTAATCCCCTCTAACATTTGTTTCCCGTCAGAAATTCTTGAAATAAAAATCCTAAAAAACAAATTCTGACTCATATAGTCGTATCATGTGTGTCTAGCAAACAATAATGAGACCATGGATTGAAAACTCCAACGCAACCCATTGGGTCACAACACGTTCCCCAGAAAACGAAAAGAACAAAGAAGGTATTTTCCAATAGTTTGCATCTTGAAAAACCAAAAAAATGCTTTGCATACTCAAATTTTATATATTTAATTTGAATTATCATTTACAGTCTTTTTTCAAATAAAAATTCTCTCCAAATACATAATTGTCACTAAAATTAAAAAATTGTTACCAAAATTTAAAAAATTGTTACCAAAATTTAAAAATTGTTACCAACATTTGAAAATTGTTACCAAAAATTAAAACATTTGCTTTGCATGATCAAAATTTGTAAAACCAAAAGAAAGATGATGGGGGAAAAATGGGACCAAATCAATTTTTTAACATTTATTGTTGTTTTTCTGCTTGTTCTTCACAGGATGAGTCTAAACCAATTCAGATACCGGTATAGGATCACTGGAGTCCATGGCCGTATGATATGACAAGGGAGCAGACTAAGGTCAAGTCAGGGTGCAGCCTACCTGGCAGGAGCTCGATGTTTGCTGGTGGTCCTGAGAGGTCAAGTGAACAGAAGGGTTCCTTCACTACAAGGTCCTTATGTTATATCTACAATAGAAGAAGACATAACATTGCATCAGAGACGTGCTGCCCCCTCAACATCTGTTGCGTCAGCAGAGTCTGCAACATTAGCAACACCTGCAGCACCAATTTCATCTACACCATCAGCAATATCTACAAATGATAACATGCAAAATCCAAATCTATTGTTTTATGGTGTTTTAGAGTCATTCTATCTTGACGAACTTCAAGTCAGGGTTCAGCGATTGTGTAATGAACATTGCTATGGGTGTGAAATTAACCACCCATCTCAAGTGCAACACCAGTGCCTGATGATGGACAATGACGATCGTGTTGACTTTTACTATGATGACGCCCTTATTGAAGTTCCACATGAACTTATTCTTGAAAGAACTGTAAATAAAATGGGGCCAACTGGACTCCCAGTGCCAGATATTGGTCACGATGACATCATTCGTCATCTTCATGAAAGAAGATGCGAACTTGTCTTAAGACTTAAGGCAAAAATGAATGAATGAATGAATGATTGAATTAATGAATTTTTTAAATCAAAGAAGTGCATGCTGGGTTTTTTTTCTGTCTTTTTTATTCCACAAACTATTGCTTATATATTTGTGAATCTATTGTATATGAATAACTTTTGAATGTGTCATATGACTCAAATCATTGCAAAATCACCAATGAGGAGTTGTTGTCCATGATGTCAATGATGATGATGATGATGATGATGATGATGATGATGATGATGATGATGAAAAGAAGAAATGAGTCTAATAAATTGTATAAATCTTATTTTTTATGTTGTTATTTATTTTTAGTAGGAAAAAATGAAGTCTTACATGCAAATAAGCACAGGTAAACACATGACAACTATCTAACACCAATGCAGACAAAAACGGGTTTCTTAAAAACATCCAATGAGAGGACAGTATCCAAATATGGGCCCTTTAAGTGAACATATCCAATCATGTTTGTTGATTTAGAATTCACGTGGTAAAGTCTATTGTCCAATGAATTCAAAACACACATGTTGGTGCAAACTTCATGTTTGCACATACATTCATCATTCAGTCATCTGCGATCAGTCTGAGAAGTTGTGTCAGAAATCATAGCGCAACATGTCTACAAGGTTTGTGAGTTTGTCAATTGCTTACAATTCGACCTTAATGATATCAAGACAGCAGTCATTTGTTCTAGGATTCATCCATCTTATTCCCGTTTTCCATTATAGTTAAGTTTTTATTCTATACGATTTTTTTTTTTAACAGGGAAGAAAAATCTACGTTTTACTCTTGGAAACAAGTCATGAAAATGCCTCACACTCTAAATGAAGCAGTCATTACACAATCTCATGAGTGGTTTCAAAATCGTCAGGAATGTGTGAAAGATGCCAAGAGAAAGTTCCAAGACGACTACAATGTTACCAGACGAGTCATCGTTAAAAAGTCGAGATGGGCACTGTCTGCAGATGAGGTCGCCATGGCAGAGAAAATGAAACTCGTGGAGGACCTTTTGACTCTATGCTATTGCATTCACGTTACAAAGAGAGTGAAACAACTGTCTCGTGAACTTTGCTTTGGATGTATGTTCGATTCCGAAGGCGAACGAGTACACACCTGCAAAATGTCTGAAGAAGAAATGGTGGAGAAGTATTTCAAGATGGCGCTGTCAGATGTGGACGAGGGAGAGGTTCAGGAAAACTGGAGACAGCTGATGTTGGAGGACCCAGTATTGAAAGAAGTGAGAGACTTCAATTTGGTTCCTTATCGGTGCAAGGACTATTGTGATACCCAGTTTAAGACATCCACGTGGGCTGAAGGATTAAAAGTCCGAGTAGTGAAAATGTTGAAATTGCAAATGAGCATGTAAACATAGCTGAAATAAAATTTGAAAATTCAAAACTTAGTTATTCTTGTTGTCTTTCATTTTCAACCATTTTCTTTCTCTATATCTTGATATTATATTTTGGATTTCTGTCATTTAAAAATGAATCCTCATAACAGTAGGATTGGTACTGCTTCCTCTGACAAGGCTTTGGAGGAATATTATTTTAACCCAGAGAAACCAGGGGCTTACTATGGTCCTGCAAAGCTGCGCAATGTGCTCCTAGACAAGGGTGAATCCAAAGCATCCTTACGACGAGTTAACCGTTTTGTCAATAACCAAGATGCCTACAGCTTACATAGACCTCCTGTATATCGCTTCAAAAGGATGAATGTGAGAGTGAATTCTTTAAATGAAATGTTTGACGTGGATTTAGCTGATATGTCTCGGTACACAAAATTCAATGAAAATGTGAGATACTTGTTGGTGACCGTGGACATTCTATCACGATATGCATTCGTACTTCCGCTGGTCAACAAGAGACCTGACACTGTCCTCAAGGCCTTCAAACAAATAATCAAAGAAAGGAAACCTCGAAAAGTGAGAACAGATGCAGGCAGTGAATTCAAAGGAATCTTTAGAGAATTTCTAGAAAAAGAGAACATCACTCACACCATTGCACGCAATGAAAATATCAAAAGCAATTACGTGGAACGATTCAACAGGACATTGAAATCGTTGATCACTCGCTACATGACGCATAATAACACAAAACGCTATGTCAACATTCTTCCCAAATTGGTGTACAACTACAACCATACACTACATTCTTCGTTGCCTGAACTGTCTCCGGCTCAAGTGACCAAAGAGAACCAGGTAAAAGTCTGGGACCATGTCTACCTGAAACCCATAAGGAAGAAAATCAACAGTACCAGCACAAGTATGAACATCAGCAAACCTAAAGCCAAGAGATATCTATTTAAAGTAGGTGATCTGGTTCGCATCTCATATCTGAGAAGACCGTTTAGCACAGTGTTTGACCTCAAGTGGACGGAGGAGCTGTTTAAAGTGGCTAGACGTTACAAGAAACAGGGTTTTGCTCAATACAAACTGAAAGATTTCCACGACGAACCTCTGACAGGATCCTTTTATGCAAATGAGCTAAAGAAAGTCAACAAGGCAGCAGACGTGCTCTGGCAAGTAGAGAAGGTCTTGAAAAGGAAAAAGGTGAAAGGAAAGACCTATGCTTTGGTGCGTTGGCTAGGATGGCCTAAAAAGTATGACTCCTATGTGGATGAAAGCGAACTGAAAGAAGTGTGAAACAACAGACACACAATAGAAAACAAATTGGATCAACAATGGAGAAGTATGTTTTCCTGAAGAGTTCAGACTCCAAATCCACATTCTTTCCAGGGAACACACCCTATCATTTTCGTGTTAAACTCAACCAAAGGTTAACTTTTTCTGGTTTCTGGGTAGTATCTTTAATGGAATTGAACTTTGGACAAGTAGATATGAGTAAGGTCCAACATCCCTATGTGGATGTTTTGTCAAATCTTTGTGATACTTCGTTGGTGGGAGAAACGCAGCTGAGCTTGCTGAGACGCATCGATCTGAGACAGGGTCCTGCCTACAGTTTTGGCACCGAAATGTGCATGCGCGTCAAACTGAAGGAGACGGACAACATCGAACTGTATTTAAGAAGTGACAATCCTGACAGCGCTTCATTCTTGTCTGAGGAGACCTATGCCACACTTCACTTGAGACGATATCCTTTCGCCGAGTGATTTTTAGCATCGTCATGGAAACCCGTCCGCTGTACGTACCCGACTATAGCAAGTTCAAACATTACTTTGACAACAAACACGTGAAGAAAACGTCCAACCTGCTTTACGGGAAAGCCAAAAGGATGGTGATTCCGGTGGTGAGACATCAAGCAGGGCAACAACCTAAGCAGCCCACCACAGAGGTCACCTTGCGCATGACGTCGGAATCACAAAGCGAGGTCGACAGAGCCGGAGCCAAAGACAAGAGAACCAAAGCTATAAAACGCAAGGCCGGAGGAAGGTGCGTCACAACGAAGAAGATTCGTCGAACCGAGAACACTTCCTCCATTGTTCCCACCAAGACTACCAAAGCGCTCAAGTGCACTCCCGTGCGAGAAGACGATATCTTCAGCTAACGAACAGTTGTTTCCCATCGTCATGTCTCTGATAAAGGAAGGTGACTTCGAGGAACTGGTTCCCGAGGCTCTCAACGTATTTACTCTACCGCCCTATCAGTCGTCAGTCCAGAGCCATTACTTTATTCAAAATAGACCGATAAGCCAAATCAACGACACGACCCCGCTGGAGTTTAAAGTGTCCAATTCCGGAGCCGACTACATCGACCTGAAACGCACCCGTCTTCACCTCAAGGTCAAAGTCACTCAAGCCGACGGGGAATACGGACTTGGCTGTGGAGGAAAACGTGGCTCCGGTGAACTTGTTTATGCAGACGTTGTTTTCCCAGGTGTCGGTCTACTTGCAGAACGAGTTGGTGTCGTCGACCAACAACTATTATCCCTATAAGAGTATGATGAAAGCGCTGCTCGGTTACGGTGCAGAAGCCAAACAAACCCAGCTGACCACGCAACTGTTCTACAAGGACTACGCCGAGAGCGACCGCGACCTGGAAAGCAGCAGTGTCACGGGATCCCTCAACAGTGGAATGATGACACGCGCTGGTTTCATAGAGCAAAGCAAAGAACTGACCCTGTGCGGTCCCCTCTTCGAAGACGTCTTCGAAATGAATCGTCACCTGGTCAACGGGGGTGGACATGACCGTGAAAATGTACAGATCGGACCCCAAATTTTGTCTGATGAGCGACGTGACCACCCACCAGTTCAAAGTGCAGCTTTTGGACGCCTACCTTCAAGTGTGCAAAGTCAAGGTCAACCCGGCCCTCCTCATGGCTCATGATTCTCTGTTTAAGACTTCCAACGCGTTGTATCCCTATGTCAAAAGCGAGGTCAAGGTCACCAGCATTCCGAGCACGGAGCAAAGTCACACCATCGACAACCTCTCGAGTCCCGTGGCCAGCAGGTACATCGTCGGACTGGTGGAAAGTGCCAGCCTGAACGGCAGCTACACCGGCAATCCGTTCAACTTCAAATCGTCCATGGTGAAAAAGATCACCCTCTACGTCAACGGAGGCAGTGTTCCTGGTCAGCCAAGCCGAGCGGACGATGTCGCCACCTATGTAAGCATGTTGGACGGTATGAACGTGTGGAACCAAGACAAAGGAAACGCAATCACCAGGACGGAATTTCTCTTGGGAAATGCCCTGTTCGTCTTTGACCTGGACAAGATTTGTGTCGATTCGGAGTATCTCAACTTGGTGAAGACCGGAGACGTGAGACTGGAGCTGGAGTTCAAATCGGCTCTTTCATCAACGCTGAGCTGCATCGTCTTGACTCAGAGAAACTCTCTCATCGAGATTGATCAAGCCCGCAACGTCTTCGTCAAGTAACTGGAAAGCAGTAGCTAAGTACTTTAAGATCTTTAGATGAAGGCATCCGAGCTATGGTGCGCTGTGCAATGCGATCCCACCTTACGGAGACACGTGTTGGGCGTGTACGCCAAAAATAACTTACCATCCTCTATCCCGTGGAGTCTGCGCGCTCGAGGCGTGGGTTTCGTCGTCAACACGGAGCCGAGGCAAAAGCGAGGACGTCACTGGATCGCCATGGTCATCGAAGGGAATAATGCAGAACTTTTTGACAGTCTCGCGGAACCAGTGATTACTGACTTTCATCAATATCTAAAATCACACGTGGCTTCTTACACACACAACGGTCAACGATTGCAATCCATTGATTCGGACATTTGTGGCTTGTATTGCTTGTATTATTTATTGCACAAGTTCAAAGACAACTTAAGTTTGAACGAGATTGTCCATCATTTTAATCCTCATGACTTGCTGTGGAATGATGATTTTATATCGAAAAAAATGTGTCGCTATTTCAAATATTGTACTCATTGTAGATCCCTATCTACTAATGCCTGCTCTTCTTAGCTTCAATGTAAAGAAAATATGTTTTATTCATGTAGTTATATTAATATTATAAATATCCATGCACTATTCTCTGACATACCATTTAGATGTATACCCTTCTGGTTATGAACTTTATGCAGAAGAAAAGTGATAAATAAAAAGAAAATGTAGAAAAGTCTTTCGTGTGTTTTTTGTTTCACAACTTTATAGATAGTGATGGTTGTTCTTTGTAATTTTTTTAAGCTTTGAATAGAACACAATGTTCAAGATAAAAACCAAACACACACACACACACACACACACACACACACACACACACACACAACAATTAAAACTAATTAAGACAACTCCTTTTTGTTTGTTTTTGGTTTACAAATTTTGAAGAATGAAAACAAATTTTGAAAAATGAAAACAAATTTGTGAATTTGGAAAACAAGTTTTATTTCTTGACAACAATTTTTTTTCTGCTTACAGTTTTTTTAAAAATGGATTATGATCAATTCAAATGAGTGAAACAAATTTTTGAAGAATGAAAACAAATTTTGAAAAAATGAAAACAAAATTGTGAATTTGGAAAACAAGTTTTATTTCTTGACAGCAATTTTTTTTCTGTCTACTGTTTTTTAAAAACTGGAATAATGATCCGTTGAACTTTGGTGAACATTTTCTATTGACGTGCAATTTGAAAATTTTGGTATCAGATTTTTATTTTTTGGATAACAATTTTTTTTTTTCTCTCCCCAAAATGAAATTAATACTTAAAAAAAAAAAAAAAAAAAAAAAAAAAAGGAGGAGGAGTGTGTATATTTTATTCACTTTTTAAACGTTCAACGATTCAACAATTCAACAATTTCTAGTCTAAATAAACTTAAAAAAGAACAAACTTTCATAATTCAGTGAAAATGAAATTTTATTTCACATTTTTTTTAATTCATGGGGACATAGTCCTCGTTGTCTGACAATGGAATTGGCGAGGGGTGAGGGGCCAACAATGTTGGGGTGGCGGTGGTGGTGGTGGTGTTGGCGGGGGTGGTGGTGGTGTTGGTGTTGGCGGGGGTGGTAGGATACCACATCACATCATCGCTGCTAGCATCGGTGAAGACTCTTCTCCTCGGCGGCAGGGGAGGAGGGCGCGCCTTGAGCCTTCGCACGTCGCTCTCCACCCGGTCCATACGAACTTCATATGAGCAGTGCCGCGGGCATTCGATTTGACTGAAAATGCTTCGCAGATCTCGCGAAACACCATCAAGTCTGTCCTCACATCTTTGCAACCTTTCATTTATTTCATCCCTGTCTTCCTTACTTCTCCCCCAGCATTGACCCATTCTCTTCTTATCTTCGATTCCGCTTTCGTCAAAATGTGTTGTGGTCAAAGGGAGATAACTTTCAAGAGAAGATGAAAGCGAGCAAGTGAGAGACCGCTAGAGGCGCGTTTCGAAAGCATGTACCACTATTTCAAATATTGCACTAACAGTACAACGCTACTCAGCATCTGCTCTTATCTTCAATGTTAGTTGACATACACATATTAACTGTATTTACTCATAACCTATTTATTTTTATATTCTTTAGCCTACTTTTGCTGTTGTATTGTTCTTCGTAATTTTTAAAGCTTTGATTTGAATACCATGTACTAGAAAAAAAAAAAAAAGGAAACATGAAATAATTTTAGAAAATGTAGAAAACTCCTTTGTTTTGTTTGTTTGTTTCTGTTTATACAAATTTTGTACAAAGAAAACATATTTGTGAATTTTAAAACAAATTTTACTCTTTGACAACAAGTTTTTATCTCTGTCCACAGTTATTTTAAATGGTTAATGATTAATTCAAGACAGATTTTTTTAAAAAGGGTGAGGAGACAAGACCGCTAGTGACGTCAAGCTTAATCATTGATCTTCTCACTGTATAAATTCACTCCCTTGAAGGAAGTCAGATTCATTCTTTGAGACAAAGCCGAGAGTGTAGGCAGGCTACGATGGGGGATACCAAGTGTCTTTTGCCTTTTAAAACACCAACTACGATTTCGATTGTGGGCGGGTCCTCCAGTGGTAAGACGAGATGGTCAGCCACATTGCTGAAAGAGGCGAAATTCATGTTTGAACCACCACCCCAACTCATAATCTTCTGCTTTGTAGTGTACCAACCGGAAGTGTACGGAGATTTAGAAAAAAACTGTCCCCAACATTCGCTTTCAAGATACGCTTCCCACGGAGGAGGAACTGAGGTCGTATGCTTTGGAATCTGACAACAGGTGCTTACTGGTGCTCGACGATTACATGCAAGAAGTGTGCAAGAATCAGGTGTATTTAAATCTTTACACTACGCTGTCGCACCATCTCGGTATTTCAGTCATCAACATCCAGCAGTCGGCCTACCCAAAGGGCGAATGCAACAGAACAATTTCCCTGAATACGCATCATTTCGTTTTGATGTCCAACCCAAGGTCCGCTCACGAATATAAAATTTTGGCATCGCAGATATTTCCAGACAGGCAAAATATTTTGCAGAGGCATTTCGAGATGCAGTAGCCGAGCGAAAATATGGTTACCTCGTCGTGGATGCATCTCCACATGCCGACGAACATTACGGACGACTACGCACTAATATATTTCCAGGGGACAACAAGGCATGCACTGTGTACTTGCCTAAATAGTTCTAAACAGTCGATAGACGTTGACACCAATCAGTTGTGCGCTGACCGTGCAATGGATAAGAAGCAATACTCCTGGCTCGTAGTAGCTAACCCACCTGGAGGAGAAGCAGAGGTGACATTGCTTCAGTGTGAGACCTGGTTTGCCAGCGAATCGCAGGCATTTGACAATCTCAAACATCACATAGAAAGCAGGGGAATCGACATTCCAGACCGCTGGGGAAGCCCCAAGCACTTTGTCGTTGTTCGTAAAGAAATTCATCTGTGACAATCTGTCCCTGGATCTCTTCATTGCATCTGACTAGTAAAAAGACATTATGACAGCAGACCTCCTGAGGAAGCAGAGGACATTTCTCTATTCACTGGAGGACGTGAACACCAAACAAAGAAAGGCCTTGCTGGCTCATCTCTCGGGTGAACAATTCAAGGCGATTATCACCTTGATCTACAACATATTGAGGGGAAACATTCCCCTCTCTGACTCTGACAAAATACGATTGCAAAGACACAAGAATCTCATTCGGACATTGGGAAGCAAGAAGGTAGGGGCTCGTGAAAAACGGAGGCTGTTAGTCACACACCACAACGTCCTACGTACGTGCATTAGAGCATTGCTCGAGCAAGACAGACGCAATCATGAGCAAGCCTATGGTTCTGCTGTCCAGAGAGACCTATCAGAGACTGATGTCAGATCAAGAGTCGCCCTCGACGACAGAGAGGACACAGACTCAGACACAGACGGCGACGACGATGAAAGCACCACCAGCTCGCTCGACAGTGACAGAGAAGAACGAGGAGACGATACAGAATGATGTCATGTCCTCCACGGACGAAGGAACAGAGAAATCAAATGGTGACATCAGCAGCAAAAGTGACTACTTTCTCCTTCGTGTTCCTGATCAACTCCTGAAAGACATTGCTTCTGCAAAAACTGTAGGAAAGTTAATGAGATTGTGGCTATTTCTCAAACAGAACATTGAGTCAAATAACCTCAAAGTGAATCAAGATTTGGAATTTGTGTCAGCGGATGGACAATGGGTGAAACACGCAAACCTTGTGAAACTGATTCGCTTCATGATTCTCAATCCTGCCAGGTCAAAGAGTCCTATCGGATTCACTGAATTTCGCAAAGTGTTGCGCAGTCTACGCATGCCTAAACATTTCATCAGAAGGACCAATGAACGCAACCCAAGCAGCGACAAGAGCACCAGTGGCAAAACGGTGTATAAAAGACTGCATGTGAAGAGTAAAGCGGGTCGCGGAGTTCCTGGAAAAACTAACTTTAATAAACAATTGGAAATATTCTAAAATATCATAACTCTAAGATGCATCGTTGTACTCTTTCAAGCTTTGAGGGGGGAAAAAAAGCAATCATGAAATAAAAAATAACTTAAGCAATGAAAATAGACTTTTTGTTTTGTTTTTGTTTTGTTTTCTTCTGTTGTATTTAGTTGTTGCTGTAATTGTTAACAGTGATAACATCGAACATATGTTGAGTGAAAATTCTAAATTGTAAATGTTGAATTTAGTTGTGATGAGCCTCACTGCTCCCAGTGAGTCAATGAGTGATAACATCGTGCACAGGTTAAAATACTGAATTGCGAATGTTGAATTTAGTGGTGAAGAGCCTCACTACTCCCAGTGAGTAAACGCTTTTGAGCTTTTGACTGATACATAAAGTAAATATTACGTCGTATGGAGAATGGGAAAAATCAATGCCTCACCATTACAAAGATGTTATTTTAAATATTATGCCAACCAAGCGACACTACTCAAAAGACAAGTCTTGACAATTGAGTAAAATATTAAATTTTAAAAAAAGTCA